GCGGAGGACGCGGGCGGTCCTGCCGCCCGCGTCCTCCGCGGCTTTGCTCCGCGTCTCCCTGGTCTGCTGGGGGCCCCCCCTCCAGCAGACCAGGGAGACATGGAGCAGCTTTTCTCGCCACGGAGGATGCAGGCGGCGGGACCATGGCGCGTCTGGGCGGTCCCGCTGCCCGCATCCTCCGGGGTGAGAAAAGCCCCATTTGTATGTAGGGATCCAACATAAGTCAGATCCACGTAACTCAGGGACTGCCTGTATACAAAACCAGATCCTGTTAGCAAATTGAACGATAGTATATAAATGGCATTTTTAGGGCCTGGCATGAAAATTAAATCTCTTGCACGAACAGTTCTAGGCCACTATGTTTTGTGGGGTTCGTAGCTGTAAAGCAGGGAGCTCGTAACGTTAAAATTAAATCTCTTGCACAAACAGTTCTAGGCCACTATGTTTTGTGGGGTTCGTAGCTGTAAAGCAGGGAGCTCGTAACTTTACCTCCCTGAGAGCTGTAGGGCTTGTGTCAATGGACCTTGTTGCCATGCAGTGTGGGAGGAGCCCTGTGCCATGGCTTGGTGCTGGGGCTGTGAGGTTGAGGAGAAAGGCTGCCAGGCTCCTTGCTGAAGATCCAGCGCCCATCTCACAGCTTTGGCTGTCACCCTGGGCCAGTGTAGGGCTCTAGCTGCCACCTGGCTCCCCACAATGAGCCAGGTTGTTGCCATGGCTACCAGCTCACTGCCAGGCTATTGCCCAGGCTTCTGCCTCCCTCCTGGGAAAACAGCTGCTGCCCAGCCCCTCAGTTCCCCTCTCCCTCTGCTCCCGGATCCCTGAGGAGAGCCCAGCTCCTGCCCTACTGGCTCCCATCTACCAGCCAAGCGACCTCCAGTCTCCTGGCTTCCCACAGTTTCGTGTCCAGTTGCCACCCGCCAAGAGTCTGGCTGCCACCCTGTCTGCCAGCCCCTGACTCCAAGCCAGGAAGCTATTCATGGCCCTAAGCAATTGCTTGCTTTGCTCATGCCTGGTGCTGGCTCTGCCTCCAAGTTCTTTCTAGTAACACTCTTAGCTGTCTCCAGAGTAACATTATTGTCACTGCGATGGGGCGAGCTCCCCACACTGATGGGCCCCTGGCATGGGACCAGGAGGCTCAAATCAGCTACTTAGGGTACAAATGTGATGATGGAGGCAGCTACTTAAAGAGAAGCTCGCCTGTATGGGACAGGCAGAGTTTCTAAAAGGCAGGAAATGGGAAGTAGAGGGGGCTACAGGGAAGGAATCTGCAGTCAGCCTTTGAGAGCACAATAGTGATAGAAATGTAGCCATGTTAGTCTGGTGTAGCTGAAACAAAAAACAGCACTATGTAACACTTTAAAGACTAACAAGATGGTTTATTAGGTGATGAGCTTTAGTGGGCCAGACCCACTTCCTCAGATCAAACAGTGGAAGAAATCCTGCGATGAGGAGTAACGGTAGTTCGAATTAAGAGTTAATTCGAACTACCTAGCCCATGCTGCGTGTAGCTGCGGGCAGGCAGTTCGAGCTACCGGGCATTTAAAAATGGCGGCGCCCGGGACCATGCAAATGAAGCACGGGATATTTAAATCCCAAGCTTCATTTGCAAGTTCGAATGACTTCATTAACCACCCTACTTCAAACTAGGGTGGCTAGTGTAGCCATGCCCTTTGCCATTAATTCCTGCCCCCTAAATCCTACACTGTGCCCCTAACCCCAACATTTTGCAACCTTCACTGCAACCTCTGCACTTCTACCCACCTGCACCTCCAACTCCTGCCCTCAGATGCTAGTGTCCTTACCACATTGCCTCCCTACCCATTATCACCCAACACCTTCCACCCAGAAATCCCCATTCCCAAGACATCACCAGAAATTTCTATGCCCAGTGCCTTCCCACCCACATTGGCCACCACTCCCAAAACTGCCTAGCATCTCCTATTCCTGCGGGCATTTGGCACTGAAAAATTAAATATTCTCTGTACACTATTTTAAAATTCTGTTAATTTTATTGTCACAAAGTAAATGTGGAGAATCCAGCATGGGAGTGGCAAGTCCAGGCCACTGACAGCATGAAGGTGAGAAATCACACTGTAGTCCGTACCCCACACATTACACGCTCCTTTCCTACGATAGGGACGTGGCCCTGAGGTATCTCTGGGAAGCATTTTACGTGGTAAAAGGCCATTGGGAAGCATTTCTCATAATTGAGATCCTCCATGGCCCATGACACAAAATCTATTAGAATGACAAAAAAAATAATCATGAGTCCTAATAACCGGGGCTCAACAAATTGCTGTTTCTACTTGCCTGTGCCGAGTAGATTTCAGCCAGACGCCCGGTTCACCAGGGGCTCACGCATGCACAATGAGCGTCTTGCGCATGCACAGAGAGGGACTGGAAAGTAGATTTCACTGCCGTTTGTCAAGCCCTGCTAATAACTGAGCCCAGCCCTCTTCCTGGCCCTTGCCTTCCAGGACTCTGGGCCATCACTTCCCAAATGACCTTATCCCCCTCAGCCTGAAATTCAAAGAGGTGCCCTTTAGTAACAAAAGGAATTTTATGCAGTCACCATCCACAAAAAAAAAAAAAAAAAAAAAAAAAAAAAAGAATGTGTCTTTTCCCTAAACAGAAGTTTTCAAAAGCAAGTCCATCTTCCTGCCTAGCTTGATAGCAAGTCTCTCCCTGCCTTGCACTCTACAGCTCTGATTGCTGTACACAAACTTCCCCTTTTGCTAAGTGTCAGTTTCTTGTTGACACAGACATATTGTTAATCGTGGGTAGGAGCTGTTGCTTTTATTTTCTTTTAACTTCCCTTCCTTTGTAGGCAGTCTGTGTACCTCCCTCCCCCAGCCCATGCCTGCTGCTTATTCCAGCTGGGGAGGGGAGGAGAGGGGATCTTTGGCATCTGGGCTTAAATTTCAGAGTAGCCTGAAAAGGAGATTAGAGATGTAAGCAGGGGCTGAATTACTGCTTGCTATCAGCCAGCTAAAAGGAGAGAGCTGCCCTGGGGGTGGTAATGCTCTCTCCAAGGCTGTCTCTACACTGGCACGTTCTTGCGTGAAAACGGCCGCACTTGCGCAAAAACATGCCACCTGTCTACACTGGCCGTGCGTTCTTGTGCAAGTAAACCGACATTGGACTGCAGAAAATCGGGGCTTCTTGAGTGAGAGCTCTGACACTCCCTCTCAGGAAGAAGCCCTCTTGCGCAAAAACTCTTCCAGAAGAGGCCAGTGTAGACAGGCAACATGAATTTCATGCGCAATAAGCCCCTATGGTAAAAATGGCCATCAGAGTTTTCTTGCGGAAGAGAACAGCTACACTGCCATGGATGCTCTTGTGCAAAAGCACATCTCTTGCACAAAAGCACATGCCAGTGTAGATGCTCTCTTGTGAAAGAGTTTTTGCACGAGAACTCTTCCGCAAAAGAGTTCTTGTGCAAGAAGCTGCCAATGCAGACATAGCAATTGTTTAACTCTGCAAGATAATTAACTGTTAACTGTTGATATGTAAATACAGCTCATACCAGGAGGGGGAAAGAATCCGAGCTGTGGTATGTAAATCCAATTCAGCCAGGGCTGATGGAGGATCAGTGTTGGAATGGAATGTGATGTATTGTAACTAATTTGGGGCTGTTGTGGGGGGGAGGGGGGGAGAGGTCACAAATCATGCTACCACTAAATGTGGGAACTGTAAAATATGACACCAGGGCTTGCAGGAGAGACACCATGACTGTAAGAGGTCTCAGAGGAACAAGCCTCCCCCCTTCCAGAGTTGAGTGAATGGATTTGGGCGGAAGGGGCTTAAGGGCTTGACTCAGTCTGCTTCATGCCTGCCAGGTATAAGATGTAAGACTGGCTCAACCTGCTGCTTTACCCCTTTTTTTAAGGATAGACCTAAAGCAGACTCCATAGCTGTGTCAACACTGGCTTGATCTTGTGCCAAAGCAGCCACTCTTGCGCCAAAACTTGCTGCCTGTCTACACTGGCCGCGAGTTCTAGCGCAAGAACACTGACGTTCTAATGTATGAAATCAGCGCTTCTTGCACAAGAGCTATGATACTACTGCTTAGGAATAAGCCCTCTTGCGCAACTGTTCTTGTGCAAGAGGCCAGTGTAGACAGGCAACATGAATTTCTTGGGCAAGAAAGCCCAATGGTTAAAATGGCCATTACAGCTTTCTTGCGCAAGAGAAGGTCTACACTGGCATGGATGCTCTTGCGCAAAAACACATCTCTTGCGCAAAGGCACATGCCAGTGTAGATGCTTCTTTTCTGGAAGAGTTTTTGCACAAGAACTC